AAGGGGAGAGGGGGACAATTGCTAGCTTAGCTAGTGTAGGTGGTTGGTTTGGGAGAGGGGGTGGTTGCTTTTTTTTTTTAATAAATTTGAATTTATTTTAATTTCTTAAACTTTTGTTATTTTAGATCAATAGGGTGGTGACATGTGGGCCCTTATTTGAAAAACAAGCTAGAATAAACAAAAGGGTGGTGTTACCTAACGGTTTTATGTTTTAAGGGTGGTTTTTAAATTTTAATTTCGAAAAAAATGAGTGGGAAGTTCAAAAAATGGTGCTTTGAAATGTGGTTATTTACACACACACGAATTAAAAAAAAAAAGAATAAAAAAAAATCCTTATTGATATCACATTTAAAGATTTAACTTTTATATAATAGATTAAGATTTTGATTTTCGTCCCGAGTATCATGTAATATAATTTTTTTAACTTCCTTTTTCAATCTTGTTTATGTTTACTTAGAAGAATGCTCATAATTAATGCTAGTTGTTGAGTTTAGAATTATATACGTAGTATAGTATAAAAATTAATTAAATTATCAACTTTTAAAAGTAATACTCTTATTTTGTTTCAAAAATAAATAAATAAATAAATAAAATAAAATAAAAAAACTAATACTCTTATTCCAAAAATTAGGAAATTTTTTTAAGAAAGAGGAAAGCACAACAACCATTCCTAACTTGTGGTTGAGGCAAAACATTAGGCAAATTAGATGCCACTTTTTTTTTTTATCCAAGACCAAGTCTCATAGCTCATATCTACCATATGTACATATGTTGAAATATTAAATTGTGAACAAACTATATTAGTTCCTCACTTTTCGGTGATAACATATATAATAAGGCATTACAAATTAAATCACATAAAAGAAATTTAAACAAATACATATGACTAGAAATTTTCCTTCAATAATTTTAATAACTTGAAATTTAATAACCTCAACAAGTGAAAAGTTATGGCCGACAAAGGAACAGGAAACGGAGCAACAAAAAAGGCGCCAGGTGAAGCGTTACACCAAAGAAGGAATTTACCATTTTGTCCGTTGAGATTAGCCATTGGAGGTGTTGCTGTTGCTGGTATCATCGGATACTCTGTGTTGTACAGCAAGAAAAAGCCTGAGGCATCTGCAGTTGATGTTGCAAAAGTCACTAGTGGTGTTGCTACCCCTGACAACACACACCCTCGTTAGTAACATGATTTAATTGTGTGTGTGTGTTATATATATATATATATTTTAGGAAATTTTAATTTTATAATAGTATATTAGTAGATAGTAGTATGTAGTGTATTAAAAAAAAAAAAATTTTGGTCATACTTTTTGAACAAACATTAATTTATATACTTCCTCAGTTTCATAATATAGTTCATGTTTTCCTATTTTAGAGATCCAAAATATTGTTCTCGTTTCCATTTTTGGATAGTATGTAAATATCATTATACCATCACTTTTTTAACTTTGTTCATTGTACCTTTTTTTTTTTTTTTGTTGTTGTTGTTGTTGTTGTTGTTGTTGTTCCACTCAATTTACCTTTTGAGCAAATCCGGATTTGGGAATTAGTTCTAGGTGACTAGGTTCCAATTTCCTCTCAATTGTTGTTGTGGGAGATTGAACTTGGGACCTCCTTACCAAGTGTAGTCCTAAAGGGTCCGAATCCTCTATCCCACTCATATGGTCCCATTCCATGTCCCATTCGTTTTGATTGGTCCACGTCACTTTAAATATCAATATTAATATTAAAAAAATTAATAGAAAATTAAATTAAATAAATTTTACATAATTTATATTTTAGTCCTTATCTTTTTTTTTTGTTTCTCCTTGACACAATTACGTTTAATTCAATTGCATCATTTTTTTCCTGTATACTACCTCTATAACTCTAGAAGAACCCTAATTTTTTTTTTAAAAGTTACCTCAATTTATTCTTTCTCTAATTGCATCCATAAATACTAAAGCACTACAATTCACTTTAATGGATACTCCACGAGAAGTATTGACAAACGATTTCGACAATTTACCATACGAGGTATGATTCTTATTGAATTACGTATCTATGAAATACTATATGCATATGTTTTGTTTGTTTTTGGTCATTAGGGTAGCTATTAGAGCGCATATTGATAATTACTATTAGTATAAGCCATAGCATTGTCAAAATTATACTGCATATATAGTTGTTTAGGTTATGGATGATTGTATTTTTATTGATTTTTATATGCGATTTTTGGTGGTACAGAATTGTCATTTTGATAAAGAAATTGGGTCATTACAAACTAGTCGTAGATTATCTTTTGAGGAGCATGAGTAATTGAATGATAATGATGATGTGGTCAATAACTCTAAAAATAACTTTGAAGATAATAAAGTTGAAGAAGATAATTTTCTGCCAAATATGAATGAAATTCACTCAAAGCTGCCCAATGAAGCCATTCCAATGATAGGGATGGAGTTTGCATTAGAGAATATAGCTTATGATTTCTACAACAGATATTCTAGAGCTATTGGATTCGGAATTCGGTAAAGTAAATCAGTTTTATTTTTGTGTGTATGTTTTCTGCATTTTCAATTTCCTAAAGGTTTTGAATTTACAATGAAGTTGTATCTTTACTCAATTATGAATTTTTATAATAATGATTGATATGCTCGGATTGTTTTATCATTGTGTAAAGGAGAAACAAAAAAAAGATAAGGACTAAAATATAAATTATGTAAAATTTATTTAATTTAATTTGCTATTAAAATTTTTAAACATTAATATTGATATTTAAAGTGACGTGGACCAATCAAAACGAATGGAACATGGAATGGGACATATGAGTGGGATAGAGGATTCGGATTCAGTCCTAATCACCATCTCATTTTTATTATGAATGTACTTTATCTACTTTTTCCTCTTATTTTTTAAATACCGTGAAAAAACACAAACAACAACTATATTATGGGACGGAGGGAATATTACCTATGGAGTAAGCAATTTGAAATAACAATGTTCCCACTACTTCCGGTCTAAATTACTCACGACTTTGGGGTAATATTTGTGACATATAAAATATTCATAAATTGCGAGTAATGGACCGGAGGTAGTATATAACTTGGATGGATGTACAATCAGTCACTCATACAAGGATACACCCTTAAAAAAAATCATACTAGGATACAACATTTCTCTAACGGCTCCACCTATTATTTTAAGAAGCAATGAAGTTAAAATACTTTGCCTATATCACATGTTTTACCTTGACTAACTTTTATATTCTTCAGTATATAATTATGTGCAATCTTGTTAAATTTGATTCATTTTATATAATATAAAATTTCTGCTTTTTTTTTGGCGAAATTTCTGTAATTTTAATTTATTGATAATAAAGAGAATACATATTAATGATTGAAATAATGAATTGTCAACCGTAAAATGAGATGTGGTGCGATTTTATTGAAAATAAATACACACACAATGCTTGAATGATAAGGAATTCATAACCATCCATCTATCAATCTATAACTAACACTAAAATAACATCCATTGGCATCATCTTTTTCCCCAAATTTTACACGTGTGACGTATCAACTTTTTCTTTAATTTTTTCCCGACTAACCTTAAACATTTTTTTTATCTACATTCAACCTCTTATTCCTTCTCAACTTATTTTTTTTCTCTACACTAGTTTTAGTCCCGTACAATGCACAGATTTATTAATGTCTATCCTTTAAAAGAAGTATTAAAAGAATTTTTATTTTTTTAATAGATTTTTTTTAAAGAAAAAAAAGTAAGTCATTTTGGAGGGAAAAATTTTCACAAAACCATGCCAAAGTGTCCCTCCTCTCCAATCTATACTTTAGTATATAGTACTAGGTTAATCCCGTGCGATGCACGGTTTTAAAATAAGAATTGAATTATAGACTTTTAACATTTACTAAAATAACTACTTTTTTAGTTTTCCTAACTAATATCTAATTAAATATGAATTTACAAATTTCAAAAGTACAAAATTTTTATATTTAATTAGGAAGTTTCAATTAAATTATATTATTAATTATTGTTAACAATTTGTAAATAAATAGCATAATATGAGTAGAAAACCCAAAATTTACAATTGAAATAATTTTCAAAGCAATATTAAATAGGGTAGTTTAAAAAAGGAAAAAAAAATATGACATCATCCTTGCATTTTGAAGAAAAAAAAATTAAATAAAAAAGTGTCACGTAAGCAGTGATGACATCAATGGTTGTTATTTTAGTATATATATAGATTATAGATAGATAGATTCAACCTCTTATTCTTTCTCAACTTTCTCAATTCAAGATCTTTTCACACAATTAGGACAACTAACACGCACGATGCACAACTACTCATAGCTAAACATGTCCAGAAACTCTTTTAGTTCGGAGTTGTTAGTAGCGTTAATTAGGGAAAGTATGTAAATAAATGTTTTAGGGTTATAAATGTCCACACACTATTCTTAAGAGTTTAAAAAACAAAAACCAATTAACGTTAATGAGGGTAAATATATAAATAAATATTTAAGGACATAGTCGTTAACACTATTTATAAAGTATAGACATGTATTTAGAAGGGGTAAATACGCCAATAAATATTTTAGGGGTACGATAATCTCAACACTATTCATAAAAGTTTATATTTAAGTCTATATATTCTTTTTTAATTATTACATTTGAAACAAATTTCTCTAAAAGAAACAAGTTTTACACCACACAAAGCAAAACTATACCATCAATAATACATACTCTGTTTTACTTTTATTGCACCATAAAAACTTTTACACTATTCACACAATATTCTTTGAGTATCATTTGTGAACTATCCATAAGGAAAAACATAGTCACGTGAGATATACATTTCAAATATCAAATTATTACAATTTTTACAAAAATGTAATTAAAGAAATTAATAGGCAAAATAATGCATTGACAAGCGTAAAATCATGGTACAATAAAAAAAATAACGGAGGAAGTATAATACTCTGTATTTGATATTTTGAAAGTTATATCAATACAAATCTAAAATGCTCATAAATGATCAAATGTTTTAAGTGTAAAAGTATAAACATTACAAGTAAAAAGGAACCAAGAAAGATAAATATAAAAATCAAATAACTCACACAATGATCCCTGTAATATTCACCTCAATGGAGGGAAAAATAAAAGGTGAAGACTATTAATCTTCGAAGCATGGTTTCCTCATGATCATGGGCGTCTAGGAAGTACCAGAATAACATGATGGAAAATGTAGACTCAAACACCAATAACTTGTCCTTCGGTTGTGTACTTGATTGCAGAAAACTTGATATCCACGATTTTCTCATTTTGTATGTTTGGATTCACTTCAAGGCGGCACGACTCATAGCTCAATCTGAATCAATAAAATTCCCACTAAAAATAATCTCTCAAAACTAATACCGCTGAATCTTATATTTCTGTGCTAAGCATGTATTTCAACAGCTTTCAATTAAAAACAACAGTACTATGGAGTTCATAATACTGCTTGCTCAGCTTTCATCTTGAGCTGGAGCTTCACTCAATCTGACAGATCGAGGAAGCATAAACTCAGCAAACATTGGATAGTGGGAGGATGGGTAACACCCGTCGATATTATCATTCACTACTTCACATAGTACTGGTATCAAGGATCTTCCTCTGTACAGAATCCAATCCACATGAAGATCCTGAGTTTGTCGATCCCAACAGAGACAAAGAGCCCTAAAAATCAACTTCAGAAATTCCAAAGCTCCCTGTTTGTCACCTATCACACCATTAAAGCATGTCAGAGGTTTGTAAACCAAATTCCACGAGTTTCACTGGTAATAAAATTCAAAAAATTTCAGACTTTGAGCTTCAAAGATACCTCTGAATCCATGATAGGTGCGGATTAAGGATCCATTTTTTCTTACCCGTGCATTTGGCCATGTGTCTCTCATATCACCTACCACACCATGCTCTCTGTAGACAAAAACAACGAAACTCATGTACGTGGTCCATTACTCTATCATGAATATGTATTCTCTCTCAATAATCTGGAGTCCCTATCTTGAGCTCCAGAAACAGTATTAAAAACAGCAAGCTTGCTGGCTAGCCACTAGTCGATACATGTCACAAATAAACAAAAGATGCCATGGTAAGTTGGTAACTGTGTTTTTTTGACACATCTAACTATGCAATGTCATTTTTGCTTTTGCATACCACCTTCTCCCTTGCACAATTACTTCAGTTGTGTTCAGTTAAGTGGGAAATCTTTTCCGAAGTGAAAATTCTTTATAGTATAATCATAACTTTGACTTTTACCAAAGGCGCATAATTTATCAAGTACCTCTATCCTTTAATCATCATTGGTACAGAGTGTACCACGTTCAAACTGTTAATAAAACAATAGTTTGGTCAATTACTAGCCTAAGTTCCATCTCCTAGTCGTCACTTCCCCATCCTCTGTTTTCACAACCAACCAAATCGTCTGCAACTGATTTTATTAATTAATTACCCCTCAAAACGTTTAATGAATCCCACATCAATTTTTTTTGTTTCAATAAATTTCTTTTTCTTTTTTTTTTTTTTCCTGTCTAGCATAGTGGCCAATGTGAGAACTTGCCATATGGCCCCACATGCATCTAATTCTTCACAAAGTCCTCAAGAAAATAAAATGATATAATTGAGAAATTTCAAGGGAAAGTAGAGATATTAAGACAAGGTTTTGAAGATTTGCAGCTGAATCAAATTGGGTTGGTCTTATCTTCAATGAAAAATTTATGCAAAAATGCAGATCCTATTAAAAGAGAGAATGATAGATAGAAAGATCAGAGAGAGAAATTGAAACTGATTTCTTAGGGTGCAGATATATAGTACTTAGAATTTCAGACTGATTGCTCCCCTCTTAACAGTAGCAAATACCAATGTCAACCACAAGAATAACGTAGCAGCCAAATCAAAGCCTGGCAACCTGCCCAAACTTTCAAACATACAACTTAAAAGGGGGCTTATAGTAGTGCATGAGCAGAAAGAAGCCAACGGTTTAAAAGCCTGCAATAGCTGGTGCCAAAGAAGGTGGGTGTAATGCTAATTGCTAAAGGAAGCGAATCTCTAACAAGTAGCAAAGAAGAAACCATTTTTGATGATATGTGCATCCACCATTGACAAGAAGCGGCAAATAGGTAAAAAAAGCATTGCACTAAAAATAAAAAAAATAAAATAAAAAAAAGAGGGAAAAGAAAAAAGAAAACTCTACATAAAAATGTTTTGTAATGTTTGCTCAAGTAATTAAAGTCAAAAGTTTGAGGACATCAATACCATGTAAAGGATTTATTATTTTGAGTACCAATCAAAAAAAGTCAAAAGAAATAGGGTATCATACTATCATCAAAATTCTCTTTCTAGAAGTCAAAAGAACATGAAGAACGGAGAAGTTCTGCTGATTCATTCAAAACAACAAAGGGATTTAATCGATATTCTACCTTGATCTCCCAAGAAGGAAACGCCCTGTAGTTGATTCCTTTTGTGTATTAAACCCTCCACAGTACACTACTGGCAAGCTTGGAGGTAATGAAGCGATATGCTGCCAAGTGAGTAAAGCACCTCTTCGGCGTGCACGAGGACTTAACTCATCCATATTTGTGTTTACAATCTGGAAGGAAAAACCAGGAGGCTCTACCCCCCTAAGCTGAAATGTGTGGGTATCACGTCAAAGAAACACATTGCTAAACAATGATTGGGAGGACTAAAAAAATAAAATAAGCAATATCAAGGATATCGCCCAAGTTGCAATACAGGGAGCTACTGCTCCCCATGAAATACTTCCAGGGACAGATGGCGACTCTGATAACCAAAAGGTTCCACCTTCTACCAGCTCTACCTTTAAAGATGAATAAATATAAACAAAGCAATCAAGACAAAACAGGAAATTAATAAATATATAAAACAGTCAACAAGCAAAGCTCCACACAGAGCAAGGTCTAGGAAGGGAATACGTAAGCTTTCACCCTGCAAAAATAGAGAGGCTTTTCCCCAGAAAACATAATGAAAATAAAAATAATAATAATAATAATGATGAAAAGATAAACAAACCAAAATATTGCATACCCTTTCCTTGTCAAAAAAGATAGCACAATGCTCATCAGAAGCATCTTCAATACCCTTTCTAGATATGCCAAAATGCCCATAACCTGGAAATTTCAAAAAAAAAATACATATAAGAAAAAACTTTCAACTTTATAGTAAAAATAATAAATCAATATATAAAGACTCAAATTCCACAAAGATCGTAAAAGAAAGTAACCATTGACCTTCATAGTTTTTAATCACTTACTGAAGAGGTAAGTGATCAGTAATCGTAAGTAGACAATAAAGCAATTTTATAATCTTGCTATCTGGTTCATTTGACAACTTAATGCCTCAACTTCATTATTAATTTCAAGAAAACCTTTGGAGTCTTTATACGGCTTTCCCCAACAGCTTATGTTGAACTGTAAATGATTTTCTTTTACATCGTTGAGTCAATGGACAAGCAAGTCCGGGTGACTGATATTACATAAAACCCCTTACCTCTCTGTTCTTTAGTTTATCTTTTTACTTCTTGTAGAAACAAAAACCAAGGGAAATGAAATACTAGGTAGAAAATAGGTTTGTTATGAAATACTCCCTCCGTTTCAAAAATAAATGTCCCGGTCTGACCGACACAATGCTTAACAAGAGAACTTCAAGGAGTCTTTCTAATGTCGATCAACTTATATAATCACCCGATGGTTCCCTCGTAAGGAAACCATAATGCCAGCCTAAACCTTTCTTTAATGAATAACCTTTATAACAGTCAAGAGCAAACCATGAAAACTGAACCAGAAGCAGGATGAAAACATGAAATCAAAATCACGAAAATGTTCCTGCTAGAGGTTTAAGTCAACATTTGGGCTGAAAACTTCAGCTTCTTTTCTTCTCTAGATTTAGACAGAGTCTAGACTTGGCTATTTTAACCCAGACCCGATGGCACGACGCGTGACCCAAAATCGGCCCAAACATTGATTCGAAATTGACCTGAAACCTGAAACCCAAAATCTACCCAACCCAACCCGTATTCGACCCGGAAATGGATTTGACCCAACACCCAAACTTACCCGACCCAATTGTACCTGACTGTCCTGACATGAACTGACCTAACCCGATTGTACTTGTCCCAAAGTTGATTTGATACCGAAATAACCCGACCTAAAATTGATTCAAAGTGCTCGACTCGAACATACCCGATACCCAAATCCCAAACTTAGATTACCTTATAATTGAACTAAAAATATCTGGTGCCAAAAATGACTCAAATTGTTCATCTCCAACTGTAGCTAAGGTCATAAATCGAATTGATAGTTCTTATTAGATAGTAACATAATATAAAAATTATCGATTTGAGCTTGATCCACAAATGGAGCAACTTAAACATGACCCGACCTGAATAAGACTTGAACATACTCGACCTGAAAATGGTATGTCCCGAACTCGAATCGACCCGACCTAAGTCATAACCAAAACCCGAATTGACCGACCCAACCCAAAATTGACCGACCTTTACCCGACCCAAAATTGACCGACCTATACCCAATCCAAATGACCCGTTTGCCAAGTCTAAGACAAACAACCAACCATAGCTGGACCGAATTCCACTTCTTCGTCTTTAGAATTCTTATACAAACTCTTTGATGTTCATGGCACATCTCAACAATTCTCCACCTTTTGACTTCCATATAACCAAGCAAATTATAAATATTAAGTAATGTTCACCATAAAACTAACAAATTTTAACGCTCCGCCTAAAACAAAATGCCATATGCCTTACTAGCTTTAGGCAATCAAAAAAGACAACTAGTGCAATGCCATAACAAAATTCCGAAACTTGAACCATCTACATGACAATACTTGAGCATTTAATGCCAAATCAATGAAACCTTCAAGCATACATTTTCCAAATTGACCAATCTCTCTTCAAATACTTCTCCATCTCGATACCAAACTAAACATCAAGAATTATAAACACCAAGTTACAATTGTACTTGACAAATCATAAAATTACACAATTAGGATAAGAAGTAGCATAACTACAAACACTCTAACGTGTAATTAAAATTGGTACAACTACTTTATTATGAAATGAAAACATAAACGTAATATAGACTCCCATAATAAAAATTAACACGGTTTCTCACTTAACCAATCATCATAAAGAGATCACACAAACCACAAGCCCCAAAGAGTGTAAACCCTAAAGTGCATCACCAATCACCATCATCAAAATATGAGGATTTATAATCTAAATTACCACCAATTTTCTCATTCTTCAACTTCGAAGGCTCGGATTAAACATGCTCTTTTGCATGACAACAATTACAGGTTTTACTTTTGTTAAAGTTATTACCACAACGTACACTCAGCGGCGAATGCATGTATATTAATTGGGGTCCCTTGACCCCAAATAATTTTTTTTCCCTACAAAAATTGCTTATATTTTTAATCAAATGACCCCATAAAAAAAATTATCGAAGGCACAGTGAGGCTCGACAGTTGGTGCCTTAGCTCTTTGAGGCTCAAAGGCTTACAAAAGGCGCGCACATGCGCTCTTTTCTAGGCTACTTCTTGCGCCTTTGCGACTTATTTTACGCTTTATATTTAAATACATCAACGGGTATTGTGTAAGTTTATTTTTCCTAAAGTATACCATGAAACTTTGTTATGGGCAAGTTTTCTTCAATTCTAGTGGAGAGAAAAATCTCATATCCTATAATTCGATTTGAAGAACCTTTGTTATTGATCACATGGCCCTTTCACCTTTTCTCATAATTAATTTTTACACTTATTTAATTGAAATTATTATTTCGTTTCTATATATTAAAGTGAGCCTAACCTACAAAAGGTGCGTGCCTTCGCCTTGCGCCTAGGCTCCAAGGATTTTAAGCGCTTTGCGCCCTTTAAAACTAAGGTAAAAGTATACTTGTTATAGGGTAAAGAAGTAAGATGGTAATAAGGTTATGCCAAAATAAGAATAAAGCAAAGTGAGGTAAAACAAAAAAGAAAGAATTAAAAAGGGAAGGGATTATATCAAAAAAGAACAGATGGAGTATTTGTTTATACAGATTTTTACTATTCTAACTGATTTTTATTTTGAATTAAAAAAATTCAATTATAAAAATAGAGAACTTGAATCATAAAGTAGCTATAAATAGATTAAATAGTTAATGAAGAGAGAGAGGGACATTGTAAAGAAAGGTATGATCTAGCTATAAAATTAATAAAGGTTAAACACTTAATCGTTGACTTCTTTCAGTATCATCACCCCTTTCCTCCCTCTGTAACATGTCAAAGCATTGGCATCCAGGATACATGTCAAGAACAAACATTACAAGTTGTGCGTAGTATATCAAATAACTTTATATTAGATAACAAGCATAATCAAATAAGTAAATAACAACAATACCAATATCTCAAACCCAAACGGATGGGGTCAGCTACATAAATAATGAATGAATTTATCTGATGTGGTCGATCACAACAATTATTCTTCCATTTGTTTCCATTTAGTGTAATAAAGTTTGCAATCCTATTTCTTCAACTTTCATTCTAATTCCATTGAATGTTGAGCTTCTAAGAAGCCGCACATTAAAAAGATGGAGGTAAACGAAATGTGCATGTTAAGATGGATGTGCGGGAACATTCTAAGATATTGAATCAGAAGTAAAGTTATTCGCAAGAAAGGGGTTAAAAAGGATATTAGATATATGGATTTGCATGAGAATGAGGTATTTAATCGAAAGGGATAGAGGAGGAAGATTTTTGTGGTCGACTATACGGAATAATTACTTTTGGTTCATGTAAGAGCATCTCTATTGGCAAGCTACAATATTTCCACGTCAATTTTTAATCTACAACACTCTTTAGTAACAAAGTATTCCAATGGTAAGCTACAACATCTTTTAGTAAGCAAAATATAAAATTTAAAAATAAATAAATAATTATACACATATTACAATATGAGTGGAGTTTATTTGTCTCTTTTTCAATCAAGCATGTTTGGGCTACAGTAGCTAGAAACTTTATTTATATTGCAAGCAAGTCCTTGCAATAAAACCATTGGAGATGCTCTAACCGTCCCACTTATGGGATTAAGACTTTGATTGATTGATTGATTTGTACAAGTCATCTTTGCCCTCTACCGGCTTCTTCCAAAAAACTTCATAACTCTGACTCTCCACTTTCCTTGCCAATTTACTTTTTAAACAATGTCACAGTTGCCCAAACCAACATCGTCAGTGCTTTCTTTTCAACCTTCCTCCATATATCTTCCAAATTGTGTCTTTTAAAGGTGCTAAAATATAGACCCAAATACTCAACTCCACAATTACTAACTTAACCCTGCACGCTTGCCACAATGCCAGCTAATTTTTTTTTAAAAAAAACTTGTTCAAATCAAATCTTCTATGCCTACATATCTTTCCAAAGTTCGCATATCAAGAATAAAATTTCAGACTCCTATTATAACGGTAGCATAACAATCAATAAATCGTCTCTTAAAAGCAATTGATACACCTAGCCATACATTGTTCCGAATATGCATTCCTATGAAACACACCTTACTAATAACCAAGAACGCCGTAAGAAGCATGGCCATAAAACTTCTCCGCATGGAAGTTATAAATCAAACGGCTTGGTTTGATTTTTCAACTAGGCATGTGCATTAATTGACAGAAACCTGTCAATTAGCTCTAAACAATTATAAAATTCGTGATCATTTACAAAAGGGTTTCTAGTATAGAAAGAAGAAGCACGGAAAACAGCAAAATACAATACCAGGTAATCCTTGCTGAAGATAATCCAACTGCAACTTCAATCCTGAATAATTTAAAGTGAAAAGGAATCAAACAAATTTATCATGGGAAAGAATAAATGAAAAAAAAAAAGAAAAGAAAAAAAACGGCGAAGAGAAAAGATATACCCTGTTGTGTACATAAGAAGGTGGGTGAATAACTGGTAATGACGCTGATGCACAAATCTTTCCTGTTTTCCCATGAATTCAAACTATTAACAGGCTGTTCGTCATGGAGGTTAAAGGTCATCACAGTAAGTGATAAACTCATCCTTCACAATCATCAGCCACTGAAGATGAAATTTCTAAATCGAGCTGAAGAACCCTAATAAATCCCCAATTAAAGGTTCTGCACTGATACTCACAGACCCCCGGCAATTCAATTGGAGAGCATTGATGAACTATATGCTTGGATCCAAACAAGTCAATTATGCAAAAAAAAATGATTGAAATATACTCGTACTTAAATTGTTGAAGATGGGAGGAAAGTAAATAACTTTAGCTTGGGAGTTGGATTATTTACACTCTAATCAGACGAGGCCGGAGGATAAATTATTGCATATACATTATACAAGGGCACTTTGGTCATTTCTTCATACAATGGGTTTCTGGTGCGGCCAACCGCACGGTGCGGCAGGGTGCCTCATTAGTAACCCTCAAGTAACTCCCCAAGCAACCCCACTTAAGTAACCCTTCTGACAACCCCCCAAATAACCCCTCAAGTAACCCCCAAATAACCCCACTTTAGTAACCCTTCTTTTACCCCCTCCCAGTAACCTCCAAGTAACCCCAAGTAATCCTACTTAAGTAACCTCTCAAGTAACCCCTCATGTAACTCATCTAAAAACCCCTTAAATAACCCCGACCTAGTAACCCTCGAATAAACATCCACAACAACAACAAAACAGGGACCATAAATTCATCCAAATCAAACCAAAATAATGAAACTTTCAAGTATCAATTTAAATCAAATTTGCATAAAACACAAAATGAACGATCAAATGTTCCAAAAATCAAAATATCACAGATTTTCAATATAAATTAATTTAATCAAAATGCTTTCAATTTTATCAACATTTTATTTTTGAAACAACACCACCAGCAACGATAGACTTGCAAATGGTAAGAACAGCAAAACCAGCAGGAGCCTTAACACCTTCTCCAGCAATCTTCGCTTCTTCCGCCAAGTTTACAATCGTCCTACTACCCACCGACGAAACCACCACAAAACCACCAAACCCACCCACGAACGTAGATCTAGAACCCAAAACCACCAAACCACCATTGCCAACCCATGAAACCACCAAAAACCACCACCACCGAACCACTGATGGTTAGAGAAAAGACGACGAACACGACGACAACGAAAACGAGGATTGGAGCTTTGAGGAGATTTGACGAAGACAACGTCGGCGTAAGTCGTTAGTTGCTGCCATTGATGGTAGAGAGAGAAAGTTGGAAAGAGAAAATGGAGGATAGGATAGGTAAGAGAGAGAAAATTATACGGTGTAGCTAGCCGTGTATAAAACTTTGGATAGGACCAGACTATAATGAGAACCAATCCTATAATAGAAACTAGGAACTAATCTGGACCGTCAGATCTTACACAAAACAGGAGCACGATAGACGATCCAAATTAAATCACACATATTCTATTCATTTCCATGCACTTTCTCTCTCCTCAACCATTTTCTCTCTCCTCAATTGCAATGAGCTTTCTCTATCAAATTGGGTATAATTTGCTGCAAAATCTTCTCGATCTTGCTGAAATTGCTTCAAATTTGTCAAGATCTTGTTGGAAATTCAATTTTTCTTGTTTAATTTGGTGAATTCAAGCCAAATTTCTTCTACGACTCTGAATTTTGAGTGGCATTTGAGGTAATTTTTTTTCTTCTATTTCTTAAATCAACGAGCTTCATCAATTTCATAGAGTAAATCGAATTTTAATTTACAAGTTGAGGCTATGATTGATTATAAATTACTTTTAATCGTTTCATTAAAAGTGTAATTTCTTTATTCTTATTGCAATTTTAGTTCAATTAGCAGTATTATTTCTAGGTTTATAAGCTAGCTAGCTTGTGATAATTCTTTGCAGATTTGACTGGATTGTGCTGCAAATATCACTCGATTTGATAATTCAGAACACGGTATTGCTCTTGCTAGGAACTTTGCTCTCATTTTTTTTTTTTTTGTGAGATTTGGTTAGTTTTGAACGAATTAAGTTCATTCTTGTACAAATTTATTATTATTGAAAATGTAGATAGAAATAAAGTAAAAGTAAATCAATTATATTATAATGTAAATTGAAAATTTGACATTCTGATATATAATCAGTTATTTTAGCTAATTTTGACTACTTTTGGAAGCTGGTTGGGTTGAAATGATTGTCAATGTTGTTTTGCTAGGTAAAGCTATTATTTACATTATATGTCCGTGTTGCGGGGAGGCCCAGGAAACAATAATGTATGCTCTTTTTTTAGTGTAGTGAAGCTCGGATGATACGGTATATTTTCCCCCTTCGTTTAGTTGTCCCTGACAATTCTTCATGCTCTTCTTTTGAAAGGTTAAATTCCATTGTTACTATTTTCAAGTATAAGAACTGGTGGGATTTGTTTTGGGGTTTATTGTGGGGAATTTAGCTTAATAGAAATGTTGTTATGTTTGTTGTTGTAGATGTCAGGAGCTTTTGAGGTTTAAAATTTAAAGGAGGCCCTTAATGTAAATCTACTTAAAGTAAACTAGATATCTTTTAAAGTAAACCAATCTCCTCTCAAAGTAGACAATCAAATAGACCACTCTAGGAAGGTTGAGTAATTTGTTATGTGTTGTGCTAGTGTGCTTAAGCTTTCTTGGCTTGAGGTAGATGTGATGTGCATGTACAACTAGATTAATGAAAACCAAGGCTATTGACGTGCCACTAGTGGAAAAAAGGCCATCCGTAACGGGCAAAAACTGCCCATCCGTAACGGGCAGCGTCCGTTACGTATGTGGCCGTTACGGATGGCCTTTGTTATTTGTAACGGGCATCGCCCGTTACGAATAATAGGTTATTCGTAACGGGCACCTGAAAAGCCCGTTACAAATAACCCTTTATTCGTAACGGCCTTATCAAGTGTCTGTTACGAATAACGGGTTATTTGTAACGGACTTTTCAGGTGCCCGTTACGAATAACGGGTTATTTGTAACGGGCTTTTCAGGTGCTCGTTACGAATAACCCCGTTATCCGTAACGGGACATGGTTTTGCCCGTTACGAATAATGGATAATCAATTTTTTTTAAAAAATGCTGGATTTGGCACACCTTTATCCGTAACGGGACATGGTTTGCCCGTTACGAATACTGTATAATCAAATCAAAAAAAAAAAATCCACCAAAATGCTGGATTTTACACACCATTTTAATTTTAGTTACAACATCAAATTCTCCTAATCTCATCCATATTAATATTACTGTTTTTAAGCTACAACAAAAATCACTACCTATGCTAGCAAAAAACACACAAGCTAGCCAACACAAGAACAGATTAAAATGGCTAGGGACCTAGCTAGATTAAACTGAGTATCAACTTTAGACGGTAGAAACAGTCATCTGCAGTTGTGGTGCTGTTGGCTTCACGGGGTCCTTCACGGGCTTCCCCTCCTTCGGTGTAGACCCATAGTAGCAAGCGTACAAGATCAGTTGTGCTACGACAAGTATGGCTCCAACCCCATTGCCAATCTGCGCGCAACAAAGAAACAAAGGATTAAGATACAAATTACAAGTATTGTAATGCTTACATCGAGAATCACTAGATGAAATGAGGTAATGAAAGTGTATGAAGGAAAACACATACTTGGTAGTTAATAGTTGATAAGTGGTTTATTTGACCACTTATTGTGTTAATTTAAACCCGGTTTTGCGATCATTTCCCCTCTTTCTAACCCAATTTTTGAATGAAAATGTTTTGTCTCGGCTTTCCCCCTCTTAGTTTGTGTTTGTCCATGTTTTGCAGGTCTATGGACTCAATTTGGAAAGCTTTCGGTGCATGGTTTGTGTTTAAGGCAAGAGAATTAAAGAATGGAGAGGGCACTCCAGCAGGAGCGGGCGTGCACCCCTCAGGAGCGGGCGCTCCGATCTTTCTGCCAACTTTCTGCCAAAGCTTCAAGAATTGCACACCCTGTGAGGAGCGAGCGTGCAGCCTTGAGGAGCGGGCGCTTCTGGCTGTGGAGCGGGCGCTCCTCGCTGGGAAATCTGTTTTCTTTGACGGATTTCCCTATGCGTTACGGGGAGTATAAATACTTCCTCCTTTATTCATTTGTAACCTAGACAGATATAGCCTAGTTTTTAGAGACTCCTCTTAGTTTGAAACATTCCTTTTAATTAATTTAGCTTAATTTTCATCAATTCAATCATTGTAATAGTTGGTTTCAAGTTTGTTTCTCAAGATTGGCACTTTGTATTCAACAATTTCAAGCCTCAATTAGTAACTTCCTTCTACTTTTCTCCATTTAATTTCTGATTTTATTTGTTGTTGCATGATATTTAAATCTTTTTAGTTCTTGATAATTTGTTATTGGATGATAGTTATTTCAATTGTTGATCATTTTTCCCCAATTATTGAAGAAGTTAGAACCCTAATACTTGTTTGCATGTTGATAAATATGAGTTGTGAGTAGTCTACTTGTTAGGGGTTGGGTGAAGCTCAACCTTTTGGGTTAATTATGCAAATGGGGGAGAAGCATTGATGCTTGTATTGCAATTAAATTGATTATATGAGATTGCTTGTTAGTTCTTCAATGATAGGATTAGCTACCCTTGATTTAAGAGCTTGATAGCATGATATGCTTAGTTTGACATGGAAATGTGAATGAAGCATGGCATTACTTATTGCAATTTGATTATGTATCTTCTATTGCTAAACCAATGAGGAATCTAAGTTTAGTAGTGTGAGTTGTTTCCTAATTGCATGAGGTTGATCTTACATATAGTCTTTGCTATATCTTATCAATTTCACTCCCCGTTTGTCTATTTGCCTTGGTCGAGTGGATCCCATTCCCTAGTGTCCTCAATCCATTGATTTAGAACCATAGTTTGTTTGTCTTCTTGACGAACCCCCAATTCACCATTGACTTCGAATTAGCTTAAGTGTTAAGTCTTTGGCAACCATATCCCGTTCCTTGTGGACCGAACTCTTACTTGTCATTATGCTTGATTTGTAAGGTGTTTGTTAATAAATGTGTTTGATTGAGTGTGGAATGTGCGACCGTTCTAACGCCCATCAAAATGGCGCCGCAGCCGGGGAACAGTGTTGTTGATTGCTAATTGATTACTTGAGTCTAGTTCACCATAAAACAAAAAAAAAAAAAAAAAAAAAAGATTGTTTCTTTTTGGCTACACTTGTAGCCTTGGTACTAATTGCGTTTGTTGAGAGTGTATGCGCAGAACTCATAACAGGATCTTGGTACCTTACGATCCCGAGATTGAGCAAACTTATAGAAGGAGAAAAAGAGTCGGTTCTAGGCCGTTTACTACTCCCCCAACTAGAGAGACCAATTTCGAGGAGGATCGAGATCAAATGGGTGACGCGGAACCACCACCTCAAAGACCTTTAAAGGAGTTGGGAACTCCGGGAGCTTATAGAGCTTCAAGCGGCATTGCTCCACCCGTTACTCAAGCCAATGACTTCGAGATTCGACCTGCAATGATTAATTTGATTGAAAGGAGGCAATATAGTGGAGCAAAACATGAGAGCCCTCTTGCACACTTGAACGAGTTCGAAAAATATTGCAACACGATCAAGGTAAATAGGGTAACTCAAGAGTTTGTGAGACTAAAGCTATTTCCTTTTTCTTTGATAGGAAGGCTTCTTGAATGGCTTGAGAAGGAGGTGAGGCCTAACTCCTTGAGAACTTGGGATGAGGTCACCACGACTTTCTTAGGAAGATTATATTCCCAAAAGAAGACGGCCGAGGCAAGAGCTATGATCCAAGGTTTCCGTCAAAAAGCTAGTGAAACCATATATAAAGCATGGGAACGATACAAGGAATATCAAAGGGAGTGCCCTCATCATGGAATTCCGTCATATCAAGTGCTTCAAATTTTCTATGGGGGCTTGAGCCCACAAGGAAAGACTAGCTTGGATGCGGGAGCGGGTGGCCCAATTATAAACAGGACAGAGGAGCAAGTCATAGAGATAATTGAGGATGTGGTGAGGCACCACATGGATTGGCAAGAAGGAGAGAGAGATTCTCTAAACAAGGGAGGAAATGCGGTTTACTCCGTTGATCACCTTAATGCCATCAACAATTTGATTTCCCAAATCGCCAACCTTGGAAAGGAGATGACGTCCATTAAGGAAAAACTAGAGACCTCTAGTTCAACGCAAGAGCATCCCTCCCAATCTAAGGGGAGAGGTATGAATTCTAACTCTTCTCCCTCTACTTCTAATAACATGCCTCATGGATGTTTGTTTTGTGAAAATTGTGGGTCATATGACCATGATACCTCTTCTTGTAATTATGATTCCCAACCCCAACCCCAATACGAAGATGGTAATGAAAATGAAAATGAACAAGTCAATGCCTTGTCTTATGATAATAGACATAAGAATGACAATCAAAGATACTTACCACCAAATAGAAGAGAACAAGGGGGGAATTCATATAACCAAAGAGGAAATGATTACGATTACCATAACCAAAATCAATGGGGAAATAGGAACCAAAGGGACCAAAATCCCCAAGGTAACTACAACCAACAAGGTGGTTATGGTAACCATAATCATAATAATCAATGAAACTATGGGAATCAAGGGCAATTTCACCAAGGGGGAAACTCTAATAATCGGAACAATTGGAACAACAATAATAATAGAGGTTCTTTTAATCAAAATGCGTCCAATTCGAATGTTAGAGGTAATAGGGCTTCCCAAGACAACTACTATGCACAAGCACCACATAGTAGGTCTATCTTGGAGGAAATGATGGAAAATCAAACTAAAATGTTCAATAATTTCATGGCCTCTAGTGAAAAGAAATTTAGTGAAGTGATGACCCATAATAAAATGCTAGAGACACAAATTTCTCAATTGGCCAATGCTTTGAAGGAAGGGACTAGCACTTCTAAACTACCACCCCAAGGACTAGATCCTAAGAGGCCCGTAAATGTTATATGAACAAGGAGTGGTAAAGTGTTGGAAGAAAGTGTTCCTAAAAAAAGCAATGAGAGAATGAACATGAGTGAGCCTCCCTTTAAAAGTTATTTTGAACAAGAGAGAGAGCAAAACCATGAGAATGAAAAGGAGAAAGAATGTGAGAAAGAAAAAGAATTTGAGAAAGAGAAAGATTTTGAAAAAGAGAGTGAAGAGAGAAGAGAAAAAGAGAGAGAAACAAAACAATTGCAAAAGCTACCATATCCTCACAAATTTGTTAGAAAAAAATTAGATGTGCAATTTGGAAAATTTCTTGAAACATTGAAACAAATTCACCTTTCAATTCCTTTTACCGATGCTATCAAGCAAATGCCTAACTATGCTAGGTTTTTGAAAGATATTTTGAGTGGAAGGAGAAAGTGTGAATTGGTTGAAACGGTGAGTCTCACCGAGAATTGTAGTGCAATTATCATGAACAAGATGCCACCCAAATTAAAAGACCCCGGTAAATTTTCTATCCCATGTGCAATATACAAGATGCAAATTGATAATGCTTTGTGTGACCTAGGGGCTAGTGTTAGGCTAATGCCATACTCGGTATACCAAAGACTTGGAATAGGGGAACTTCTACCCACCAACATCACCCTACAATTGGCCGATCGCTTTATTAAATTCCCAAAGGGTAAGGTAGAGGATGTTCCTCTAAGGGTGGGGAAGTTTGTAATCCCGGTGGATTTTGTTGTGTTAGAGATGGATGAAGATGTTAACATTCCAATAATTCTAGGAAGACCTTTTCTTGCTACTTCGGGTGCTTTAATAGATGTTAAAAGTGCTAAAATTTCACTAAAAGTAGGAGATGAAGTGATATAATTTGATTTGAATGAGAGCATGAAATATCCAAGCTCTAGTCTTGATAATTGTATGATGATTGATACTATTGATTCTATCGTGACTTCTATGCATGAGCACTTGCTCACTACTAACGATGCCCTTGAGAATGTCCTTTTGAATAAGGAAAAGATAGGTGAGCAAGGCAAGGAGATGACATTGTATGAAGAAATGCTTGAAGGAAGTACAGAAGAAAGCATTGAGCAATTATGCATGGGAATCACAAGAAATGATGCCTTGAAAATAGCCACCTCAAGAAAAGGTAAGGGTGTTCCAATGGTAGAGTTAAAACCTCTACCATCACACCTAAGGTATGAGTTTTTGGGTCCTAATTCAACTTTTCCGGTAATAGTGAATTCTTCTTTGAACGAGTGCCAAACTCAAATGTTATGTGGAATTTTAAGAAACCACCAAGGTGCTTTGGGCTATACCATTGATAACCTCAAAGGTATTAGTCCCGCTTTATGTATGCACCACATAACACTTGAGGAGGGTGCTAAGCCTTCCATTGAGAGGCAAAGGAAACTCAATCCTCAAATGGGGGAGGTGGTGAAGAAAGAAATCACAAAACTCCTTGATGCCGATCATCTTCCCCATTTCGAGTTCTAGATGGGTTTCCCCCGTTCATGTGGTCCCTAAAAAGGGAGGAATGACCATAGTTGAAAATGAGAATGGTGATCTCATTTCAACTAGAACGGTTACCGGTTGGAGGATGTGCATAAACTATAGACGTCTAAATGCATCCACTAATAAGGATCATTTTCCTCTTCCTTTTATCGACTAAATGCTTGAAAGACTAACAAAGCACAAGTATTATTGCTTTCTTGATGGTTATTCGGGTTTCTTTCAAATCCCCATAAACCCGGATGATCAAGAGAAGACAACTTTTACTTGTCCATATGGTACTTTTGCATATGGGAGAATGTCGTTTGGACTTTGTAATGCACCAACAACCTTTTAAAGGTGCATGATGAGTATATTTGGAGACATGGTTGAAGCCGAAATGGAAGTGTTCATGGATGATTTCTCGGTTGGGGGCCTTTCATTTGAAGATTGTTTGTCCAATTTGGGCAAATGCTTAGCAAGATGTGAGAAGGTCAACTTGGTCCTAAATTGGGAAAAATGTCACTTCATGGTTGAAGAGGGAATCATCCTTGGTCACAAGATATCAAGCAAGGGGATTGAGGTCGACAAGGCCAAAGTTGAAGTGATTGAAAAATTGCCACCTCCAATTAATGTGAGAGGAGTAAGATCCTTTTTAGGGCATGCCGGGTTCTATAGGAGATTTATCAAGGATTTCTCACAAATTGCTAGACCCCTAAATGCTCTTCTACAAAAGGATTCCATCTTTATTTTTGATGAAAAGTGTCTTCAAGCTTTCAACAAATTAAAGGAGGCTTTGATCTCTACTCCAACCGTGCAAGGTCCAAGATGGGATTTGCCGTTTGAACTTATGTGCGATGCTAGTGATGTTGCAATTGGAGGGGTGTTGGGACAAAGAATTGAGAAGAAACTTCACGTCATTTACTACATGTCCAAGACCTTGAATGAAGCTCAACGGAACTACACTACAACGGAGAAGGAGTTTCTTGCCGTGGTGCATGCTTTTGAGAAGTTTTGGAATTACCTAATTTGTTCCAAAACTATTGTTTATACTGATCATGCGGCTATTAGGTACCTTTTGGTAAAGAAAGAGTCCAAACCTCGTCTTCTTCGATGGGTCTTGTCTCTCCAACAATTTAATGTTGAAATCCGGGATAAGAAAGGGGCCGAAAATGTGGTTGCGGACCATCTTTCCCGATTAGAGAATGTGAAAGCTAGTGATGATGAAATTCCCATTTGTGATGAATTGAGAGATGATGTGCTCTATATCTTGAATGAGAATGAGCTTTCATGGTTCGCCGACTTGGTGAACTATTTGGCTAGTGGAGAATTCCCTCCCGATTTCTCAAAAAATCAAAGAAAGAAGCTAAAAAGGGAAGCAATACACTATGTGTGGGATGACCCCATTCTCTACAAGAGAGGAGTAGATGGTTTGCTCCGTAGGTGTGTTCCGGATGAAGAAGTGCAAAATGTGCTCAAGATGTGTCATTTCGATCCTTGTGGAGGGCATATGGGAGCAAACAAAACAGCATTGAAGGTTTTGCATAGCGGATTGTGGTGGCCTCACATCTTTAAGGATGCTTGGGGGTTTGTGAAGACTTGTGACCGGTGTCAACGAACCGGCAATATATCCAAGCAAAACGAGATGCCTCAACAACCGATTCTTGAGCTAGAGGTATTTGATGTGTGGGGTGTTGATTTCATGGGGCCATTCCCTACTTCTTATGGAAATCAATACATCCTTGTGGCGGTCGATTACGTATCAAAATGGGTTGAAGCCATTGCCTCCCCAACTAATGACTACAAGGTAGTCATGAAGATTTTCAAGAAAGTCATATTTCCAAGATTCGGAATTCCTAGAGCAGTGGTAAGTGACAACGGTTCACATTTCGTTCATAGTGCTTTTCAAAAGATGCTAAGAAAGCACGGGGTTCACCAAAGATTCGGCCTTACCTATCATCCACAAACTAGTGGGCAAGTGTAAGTGTCCAACCGTCAAATTAAATTAATCCTTGAGAAGACGGTTGCAAGTAATAGGAAGGATTGGTCGGAAAATCTTGATGACGCTCTATGGGCATATAGAACGGCATACAAAACCCCAATAGGCACAACTTCATATCGTCTTGTGTATGGAAAATCTTGTCATCTACCGGTGGAGCTTGAACACCGAACTCAATGGGCAATCAAGAAGATTAACTTCGACTTGGCTAGCGCGAGAGAGCAAAGATGGCTTGATTTGCATGAGCTTGAAGATCTAAGATTGGAAGCCTATGAGTGTGCTAGCAACTATAAGAATCGCACTAAGGATTTCCACGACCGGAACATTGAAAATAAATCATTTCTAAAAGGCGATAAGGTACTCCTCTACAACTCTAGGATGAAATTGTTTCCCGGGAAACTTTTATCAAGGTGGAGTGGACCTTTTGTTGTTAAGGAAGTGTTTCCTCATGGAGCCGTGGAAGTTTGGGATATGGACGGCAAGAGATCTTTCAAGGTGAATGGGCATCGCCTCAAGCTTTACTACGAGGGTGCTCATGTAGGTGTTTTAGAATCAACTCAATGTAATCTTACCTCCTGAGTGTGGAGGTCGTCAAGCTATTGACGTTAAAGAAGCGCTTCCAGGAGGCAACCCGAGTAAAAAAAAGAAAAAAAAAGGAGAGAAAAGAGAGTAAAAAAATAAAAATAAAATAAAATAAAAGGAATGAGAAATTAAACAATGAGCAAGAGAAGAAAAGAATAATAGTGTTGAGAATATCTGATTTTGGCTAATTTTGTTGAATTATGTCCTTGTGGTTTTAATGTAGGAGAAAGAAGCAAAAAAAAAAAAAGAAAGCAAGGAAGAATTTAATCAAAGCATTAAGCAGTGAGGAGCGGGCGCTCCTCAGCCTTACGCGCCCGCTCGTCGCAGAAATTTAATTTTAGCCAAAACAGAAGAAAAGCAGAAAGTTCCAGTAAGTTTGGAGCGGGCGCTCCGCAATGAGGAGCGGGCGCTCCGCAATGAGGAGCGGGTGCTCCACCCCCAGGAGTGAGCGCTCCAAACTCTGCACGCCCGCTCCTCACAGGGTGTCCCAAATAAAAAAAAACAGAAGGTTCTCCAAAGAATTGGAGCGGGCGCTCCAATGATCTGCACGCCCGCTCCAAAGCCAGGAGCAGGCGCTCCAAATTTTGCACGCCCGCTCCTCACAAGGTGAACCAAATTCAGGAAAAAACAGAAGGGTGAAGAAGAGTTCGGAGCGGGCGCTCCAAATTTTGCACACCCGCTCCTCACAGGAAAATTCAAAAAAAAAAAAAGCAGAAGTTAATCCTCAAGATCGGAGCGGGCGCTCCTCTTCCCTGCACGCCCGCTCCAGCGGATCCGGGTAAAAAAAAAGGGGAATCTTTCTCCTTCTTTTAATCTCCTTCACCCATTTTCACCAATCATTCTAACATTCATGCTCTCTCTCCTCTTCCCCATCTACTTCTCACTCTAAAAACCCTCACTTTCTCCAACTTCTCTCTTCATTTTCATCATCAAATCTCAACTTTCTTCAATCAAAATTTACAAATTCTTAATCTACATCAAATTCTCTCTCCAAAAACCACAATTTTACAAAAATTTGGGCAAAAATTTCAAAGACCCACAAGTGGGAATTGAAGAAAATCAAAGGGAAAGGGGCCAAGCTTGTTAGAAAAGGAGAAATTTGGGTAAATTGGAGGATTTTAGAGTATTTTCATACTCTAAGTAGTATAATATAATATTCTTCCTTACTTCACTTTCCCTCTTAAACCTAAGGGTTTTTCTTCAATCTTTCTCTCAATTTGTTTATTTTATGATTGTTGTGTAATTAGTTGCATGATTAGGTGATTTAAACAAATTTTCTTGCCTTTGATAATTAAATTGTTGATTTTTGTGGATAATTGTGGAGTAAGAGAATGGCTTGTGCATGAAAAATTGATTATACTTTGTGAATTTGTGAATTTTTGTGTGGGAATTGTTGTGTTGAGATTGTTGGTTGGTTGTGTGGAATTATTATTGAATTGTGAGCAGGTACATTGGATTTATTTGGGGGTTTGAAGTTAAGGAGATTGCTAGTGGTTTGTTGACTGTTGTTTGGGGTGATTTTTGTAAGCTTTCCTGTCCAAAAAAATAAATTCAAAATGGTTCTTCGTTTATTTGGAGGTGCGGGAGGGAAGAAGAGGAAGACTACTTCCGGCATCCAAATAAATGAAAACCGTTCCTCCGGAAGCCCTAACAAATCCCTAAACCAAGCAATAGCCCAAAACCAAGCAATAAGCCAATCCGGTCCTCCTCCTTTGATAAAAATACCAGAAAAATCCAAAAATCTCCATAAAAAGCTTTGCTCGCGAAAAATGCTCCCAACACGATTCTATGACCAAGAGTTGTGCCAAATTCTAGGAATAGACGACGGAATTCGTCAAGTGGCTGCTAATTTCGGATGGTTAGAATTCCTTAAAAAAAGGGAGGAAACATTCAAATCACTCACTCTCGAATTCCTATCCACCCTAACCGTGGTAAAGACTAGTGGGGAAGGAGAGCTGATTGAGTGTGAGATTGAGTTTAACATGTTCAATAGACCTCAAGTCATAAGCTTAACTCAGCTCAATCAGATATTCGGGTGGCCCGTTAACAACCAAATAACCAGACCCGATAGTTACAAGCTCACCAGTTATGACGAGTGTAACTGGTGGAACACTATCGCGGGGTACCCCACATTCACATCCCGGTCTAGTCACGCTAGCCATATCATCCACCCCGTACTCCGTATATTCATGAGAATTATGGGGTATGCTTGCTTCACAAAGCAAGATCTCGGGAAGCTAACAAAAGAGGAGATTAAATGCCTCTTTATAGCTTCCCAATTTGAGGGGGATCTTGAGGGGAACGTGAATATGGGGTACATATTCATAAAGCGGTGCTACGATATTAAGATGAGCACGGAGTTGACGGGTGAGATTAAGTGCGGTGGGATGATCACAATCATCGCTAAGGCATTGGGTTTCACCGGTTGGGTTAACCAATTAACCCCAATTGAAGGCCCAGATGCTCTTGACCTTGCCGGTTTTTCCACAATGAATATGATTGTGGAAATCCGGGGAAATGTGACCACCTACTCTTGGTTGGTCAAAGGGAAGCACCGTTGCATTCTCCCTAATGCGGCGGTTATGAACACCGTGGGAACCACTTGGCAAGTGCCAAATGAGCCACTCCCCGACAATGTTCCCGACCTTGATCAACCATCTCAACCCCGCCGCCATAGCATCTCTACTATTCCAAATTTCATGGGTGGTCAACCCTCCTCCTCATCTTCCTCCTTCAACCTCGAGTCGGCTTTCCACCACCTTAACCTTTCTAACCAAAGAATTCTCCAAGAAAATGAATATCAAAGCTATGTCTCCCAAATGTCCTACCAAAACCTCGTTGAAAGGGGAGACTTTCTCCCTTATGTCAACTATCCTCACCGACCCGTTCAAGAAGGGCCGGTTGCGGGTTGGAACAACAACCAACCCACCTACTCTTATTGGCAAGGACCCCGTAGCTCCATTTCGGAGCTTCGTTCCTTCCCTCCCTACGATTATACACAACCCGGGGGTTGTGATTTTAGGGGGGACCCCTCTTACTACCACGTCCCCGAGACATGTGGTAGGATGACTCTGGAGGAGATCGATAACCACCCCTAAAGGGGATACTTCGGGTTCCCACCCGGGTATAATGGTGGTTGGGGCACTAGTGATGCACCGGACTACGGTCATTACCGTAGTTGCCCCAACTATGATCTCCCTCCCTATGTGGATCAACCTTCCTACTCCGCCGATGTAGATCCTAACTACAATTTCATGCCATCGCCGAGTAGGGAGGAGTGATCGGGAGTAGGCTTAGGCTTTTGTATTTACCGTTCCCTTTTACTCTTTCCCATCTTTCGTGACACCGAGGGCGGTGTCAAGTTCTAGCTTGGGGGGGGAGAGTTGTCCTCTTCGTGTCTATATTTTGTGGGTACGGTATTCAAAAGTCTAGCTTGGGGGGTAGTCTTGGGGTTTTTATGCCTATGAGTGGGTTTTGGTTTTGGTAGGATGTGTGCTTTCTTGTGATGCTTTTTGTGCTATGTATGGAGAAGTTTGAGTTTGTATGTGGAATGTTTGGCATGAAAGGCTTAGTTTAGCCTTTGGGACTTGTGGTAGGATTCATATGGTATTATGTTCTAGTTTGCATGCCTATTTTAGGTTGGTTGTTGCCCTTTTCACGTTTTTATGGCATGCCTAGGCTAGAACAATTGCATATTGATGTTTTTGTCTCACTTCTCCTTATGTGTGTACTATTTGGAGCATCATATCTATGGCTTTGATATGATTATGCTTTGGTTGGTTTGCTTGTTGGTTGGTATCATGGGTTGATTGGCATTGTCCTTGGTCTTTCTTGATGATGAATTTTGATGATGATTTGTGCGGATTTATGATGATGGTTTCCCCTAATATCCAAATTTCTTTTTCTTATCCTCTAACCCCTCTAACATCCAAATTCCCTAATATCCAAAAACCCTAATATCCAAACTCTTTAATTAGTTTTCCTTTCCCCCATTTTCAGCTTTCTAAAAAAAAAAAATAATAATAATAATAATGAGCTAAAAAAAAAGGATTTTGTTTGCCTTTGATCGGTTTGCAATGATGATATTGAATTGTATGCGGTGGATGTTTGTTTTCTTTTCGTAATAAAATTCCGAGCACGGTTTAGATGCCCTTGGTTGAAAATAGAATTGGTTAGTTTAGGCTAGTGTGAGAATAACTTTCCCGAATGTACGAGACTTAAAGTCTAGGTTTGTGGTAAGATGGAGGCGCCTATCTCAAAGGAATTTGATCCCCGGATGGTAGTATTTGATTTCGCATTGTTTCAAAAAAGGTGAGGTTTTATTATTTTTCAAGCCTACTACATTTTGCATGAGTGGCAAGGATCCTCTTTGATTTGGTACCTAGATCGAGAACTTGAGTCTCAACTCCCAAGGCCGTGGCCTAAACTACTCTTAGTATTGATAAAAGGTGTCATGTAATGTTTATTCACAAAGGGTTAAGGCATATCATTTTCCTTATTTCTATTATTACCATTTCCATAGTTTAATTTTTAGTTCTCTATAATTAGTAGTTAGTGATGTATATACCAAAAAAAAAAAAAAAAAAAAGAAAAAAAAAGAGAGAGAGAGAAAAAAAGGGGATGAATGAAGAATAAAAAGAAAGGGAAATAATGCGAAGAAGGAATGTATTGTCACCGCCCTAGCAACCAAATAAGCTTGGGGGTGTACTCTAAAAAGTTCATTCATAGTTGCAACTTGGGTCAAGGTTAGAAGCCTTTTTGGGTTTGCTATAAATGATACAATTTAGTCGGCTCATATTGCAAAACACTTCTAGTTTTATATATATGCCTTAACCTTGTGTCGTAGTCCTTGAGTCTTGTAATGATTAGGAGAGTAGTGGATGCCTTTGTCGATGGAGGGAGTTGATTCGCAAGCATATGGAGAGGGTACTCTTTCATTGAGATGTCGAGCGTTCGAAACCCGCTTTATCTATGTTTTTCCGGCTCCTTCGTGGAGT